ACCACTTGTCTCCCCTTCCTCTTCCTATTTACATGCTGAAAGAAGCCCTTTTCATTGCTCTTGATATTCTTGGCAAGTCTCAGCTTGTAATCAGCCTTAGTCTTACGAAGAATCCTTCTGCAACAGGCCTTCTCCTCCCGGTATACCCTTTTGTCTATTTCCCCCAGTACCCATTTCCTACGGAAGTTCCTCTTTTGTCTAATCCCTTTAACCACCTCCTTTCACATCCATGGCGGCACTCTCCTCCGCCTCCCCACCTTACTGACTAGAGGTATCGTCAAGGCTTGTTCCTCCAAAACCTCCCTTTTGAGTGCTATCCACCCCTCCTCAACTCGCTTACCTTCCAGTAACCTATCCCAGGAGACTCCCCAGTCTGGCCTTCAATTGGCCAAAGTTGGCCCTCTTGAAGCCCCTAGAAGTCACTAGAATCTTCTAGTGCTTGACCTGCTGCACTTCCCCAGTCCCCTGATCTCAAAGCAAAGGATGGAGTGATCAGTTGCATCCAGAGCTCCCCTAATTTGTATTTCATCTATCAGCTCCTCCCTATTGGTCAAGACCAAGTCAAGGACGTTTCCCCCTCTCGTCGCCCTTCGGACCCTCTGTGTGAAAAACCCTCCCTCTATAGCTTCTAGGAAGCGACATGACTTGGCTGTCACCGCTGAGTGAGTCTCCCAAGTAATATCCGGGAGACTGAAATCTCCCATAATTACTGTGTCTCTCCCCTGAGATATCCTTAGAATCTGGTCTGTCAGGACATCATCCAGGGTCTCAAGTTGACCTGGAGGGCGATAACATACCCCCACTGTCAGGTCTCTTTCCCTCTCAAAACCCCTAAGTTTCACCCAGATTACCTCTACCGAATTCCCATCTGTGCTGCATTCTGTCTCACTGCATCCTATCCCTTCCCTGACGTATAAAGCCACGCCCCCACCTCTCTTTCCCTTCCTGTCCTTTCTAAAAAGGTGATGCTCTTCTATGTTCACATTCCAGACTTGCCTTTCATCCCACCAAGTTTCTGTGATTCCCACCAGATCATACCCTCCTATTCCCAGGAGAGCTTCAAGCTCTTCCTGCTTATTACCCATGCTCCTAGCATTGGTGTACATGCACCTCCACTCCTTCCCAC